TCTAAGTGTCGTTAGAAGCTGTGAAATCAACCTAGTTACTATTACCATCAACTATCAACTATTACCATCACACGTTACAATAAAACATTATTAGTTTTAATCACGTACTTTAGTTATTTCTAGGTTTCTTGAGTGTTTAAAATTTTAACAAATTTCGATCTTTTTTAAGGATATTCATACAAATATATCTGACGTGCTGTTTTACAGTTGCAGTTAGAGGTATAATAAATTCCGGTCATATTACGCTTACGCTTATCTTCATTTTCAACATTTGCCAAAACGGAAACGATTTTGAACATTTACTGTAATTTTTAAAGCATAATATTCATTAAGACTGTTAGTTGTTCATATACATTTTTAAGAATTAATTTGTCATAATGAAATTAAAATTGTAATAATGTTTTAATTTTGCCGCAACAACTTAATAAGTTTATGTATGACCATAATGTTTTGTTTAACGTATGATATTAATAGTTTAAGTAACTAGGTGGATCTCACAGGGTCTAACGACACTTAAGAGTGTACGATAATTCAATAAACAGAAATTTAATTAAACATTTTAGATAAATTTGGAACGAATACATTGAAGATGAATTTTTCGAGACAAAACGTCTGAATCTGGTTCGGGCTAAGGCAGTACAGTATTGGAAGTCATCAAGACTTGCAAAATGTAATAAAATTTCCAGGGTCGTATAAAAAATAATTGAAGTTAATGATGGTCTAGAGATGAAACGGTACATATAAAAATTGATTATGCCATTCGATAGAGGGAAAAAGTTGCCACGAGAAAGTGTTCTTCTTTTTTCAATATCACCTCAAACAAGGTTGAAATGAAACAAAAACGGATTCCCAAAATTTCAGTTTTTTCAAATATTTCGAAAACTAATCATCTTAGCCTTGATTTTTTAGAAGCATAATGTTGGTCCCCTGATTATGCAACTTTGCCCCCATTTTAGCTACTTCGTGTCTCTTACCGTTTCCGAGATTCCTGTAATGAGAAGCCAATTTGTAACAGCCTGTACAATTTAATTTAAGATTCTATAAATAATATTTAAATGAAAACAATAACATAACACTATGAAAAATAAAATGTAATTTTAAGTTTTTTAGTTTTTGATAAATCATACTTTTTATTTCATAAATTATGACGATGCACAGTGATAATAATAGATAACATAAATATTAATGTCTATCTCCAAGTACATATCAGTGCCTTATGCATATGAGAATATCTCTTCATTAATTTTGAACGCCTTGTATCTCAAAAATGGGACGTTTGCGAACGTATATCTAAATCTGTCTCTAAAATTTGAGTAAGTTACAGACTAAAAGCATTTTTATTAATAACATCCTTTTGTTTTGTTAAGAGTGGTAATAATGTAAGTAATAAATAAATAAAATTTACTTATATTTTCTACTTATTAGTAACTGGTTGTTTGGTATCAGTTTAATAATTAGTATTTTAAAGATTATTTTCTAATTAATTTTACTATTTTTGTGAAAAATTTAATAATATTAATAACACTGAGAAAAATAAATATATAACAAATATATTCTGTTATCCAAGTAGAAAATTTAAAAATTTTCAAGTTTCCTTTTTATATAATCTTAATATTCTTCAATTTTAATATTTCATGATGAAAAGGCATATACCTTCCTACTTTAATATTATTTGAACGATATTTTGATTAAAAAAATCCCTAAGTATCTACAACCTCTCCGAAAAACTGTTCCAATATTAGATGTTACAATATATTGAATTACTAATTTCCAATTTTCTTTTAAAATTTGGCTAAATCTGTCTCAAGTTTTAAACTAGAATTAATCTGTCAGGTGATTCAAGATCATCGTAGATATTCGTATTTTATTTTACTTACTGAGTAAATGTAACATGTTTATAATGTAGAATATATTATGAAATTTCATTTTCAAACGCAAGTTAATAACGTGTCACAAATAGGTACAGATACATTTCTTGTTTTATTAGAAAATATAAGTGAACAAGATTTAAACATGGAGCTAAAGAATTAAGCAAAAACAAGTTTTTAAATGCGTACAATAATGAAAAAGATGATGGAAAAATTTTTGTAGTATAAACAAATTAAGTACACACCTATAAATTTTTATACGCACCGTAACCAAAATGCTTAAATAATTTTGAACAGCGAATGTTACAAATTTCGAAAAGATTTTTTTGGATATACATGGTTTTGAAATAAAAAAAAAATAAAAAAATGCTCATTTCATTATAAAAGAGTTATTTTTTGTCCACAAAATATGCATGCCATATATTTTTATATCAACTCTCGGTAGTAGACATTTTCGGTACCATTTTTTTTCTTTGCTGAATTGATTTATTATTATGACAAAATACTAACCACCGGCTTGACCAGAAATGTATCTACTCGACTTAAATGCTGCTGCAGTGCCCAAATAAATGACGAAAATAATCAAAGAAAACATGTCAGGTATCCATTGTCAAAATTGTCATAACGTTAAAATGCATGTAATTATTTGTGAATAATAAACAGGGTGTCCTCGAATTTCACCGACAACGTTTGTCTGCATATTCACGACGATAAATAAATATGATCTACGCAAAAAAGTTAAATAAAAACTTTTTGGTTTTTGAGTTATAGGTCTTCGAAGTTGTCAAAAATAAACCTACTTTAATTAATGACTTCATAACCCTTTTATCGACCGCGTTAAAATTTGCCATATTTATTTGCACTGTTATGACATATTATTTCTTAAAGCTTTAGTCAAATCGATATACTGGGTGATAGCTTTCTCCGGTTACCTCTCCTTTTTAGAGGCCAGAACTTTTACAGTGGTCGTATTTTTTTTAAAACGGGCAGCAACACTGAAACAGTCGTTTTATTTAAAAAAAAATATTGTCTCTTGAGAAAATCGCCTACAGAAAGTCATTCTTGAGAAAAATGGCATTATTTGCAGGTCTGTTTGTTTCGATTTGCGTAGCAATGTCACGGATTGAAAACTTTGAGTTCAGTAGACGATAAAAACAAAATGTTATGGTTATCAGGTAATGTCATTGTGGTCGTGTTTCTTTAGGATTCTCATCACTCCACACATGCAAATTATGAAAATTTACAACTCCGTTCCTAGTAAAACAAGATTCGTCAGTACAAAACAATTTTTGAAGCAAATGATTATCTTCTGCGAAGCCTTTCACTAACCAGCAGCAAAATTGTAAAAATGCGTTGGGATCTAAAATTTCAAGTTCTTGAGCAGGAGTTAAATGAAATGGCCGAAGAAGTTGCTTTTTTAGAGTTTTGTAAACATTTTAAATCCGTGACACGCAAACCGAAACATCAGACCTGCAAATAATGCCATTTTTCTTAAGAATGGCTTTCTGTAGGCGATTTTCTCAAGGGGACAATATTTTTTCTAAATAAAACGACCTTTTCAATGTTGCTGCCCGTTTTAAAAAAAAATTACCACTGTATAAGTTTTGACCCCTAAAAGGAGAGGTAACCGGAGAAAACTATCACCCAGTCTATCGATTTGACTAAAGCTTAAAGAAATGATACGCCATAATAGTCCAAATAAATGTGCCAAATTTTAACGCGATCAGTAAAAGGGTTATAAAATTATTAATTAAATAAATTAGTTTTAACTTTGAAAGCCAAAACTCAAAAATTCAAAAACAAACATGTTTTAATTAATTTTTTTCCTAGATCGTATTTATTTATGGCCGTGAATATACAGTCAAGCGTTGAAATTTGCGGACACCTTGTATTATTTACACAACATTCCCTCACCTGTTTTTTTTTAAAGACATTTTTTTCCACTATTTCACAATTAAGACGTTTCTAAATAAAACTCTAGTAATGTTTTTTTACTAATTTGTTAACTTACAGCTATATTATAAATAATATAATACCTAGAGTAAAAGAATTGCAAGTATTTTTATTAATAAACAGTAACGTTTGTTAGTAATTTTCGTAGATTACCATGGTGAATTGAACCTTTTAATTTAATTAAAAAAAAACTGATACCATAAATCGACTAAGATTATATCTTTAATCAAGGGCTTATTTATATGGATTATCACATGTGAATTAATAACAATAATGAAAGAAAAATGATAAATTATCTTGCATATCTTTATAATTAATAAAATGTATCCTTATCAAAATAAAAACAGAAACGTATACAATGTAGGTACTTTGGTATCGTGGTACCTAGCATTTTCAAGTTGGAAGTGTTTAACTGTCTTATTATTAACTATCAACAAAAACTAGTACAAACTTTTTAAAAACTGCTTACAAATATTTGAACTATTTTATGTATTTGTGTTTTATCTTGTTAGGCATGTTTCTGTTTTTTTTTTATGAGTTTGATGATGTGTGCCCATATTGATTTAAATCAAATTTAAACATTTCTCTGGTATTTTCAAAGTACAAATAAAAAGTGATTAACTTGTCTTGGGTTTAACTTTTGAACCAGGCTATACCGCCCTTCAGTTTGAGACAGTGGACAGCGGTCGCGTAAGCAGCATAGCCTTTTTATGTATTTGCTGTTTTTCTTAAAAGTTTTTTGTTAAAAAAAAGACTTGTTTACATTGCATTACTTTAAATGCAATTTCAAGCATTTTATTTATTAAATTTGATGATAATTGAGATAAATTATTATTATTTTACCACTTACTTGACGATGACAATTATTTTGTTTATCCAAGAAGCTAGAAACTATTATTTGTGTTTATTTTTATATAGGTACATTTATGTCCTACACAAGGTACAATTAGACATAAGTATGCATTAAAATTTCCAAAATATCTCTTTAAGAAAAATGATTTTTTCATTCAGAGAATATTATCCCGAAAAATATACACAATAAATGGAAAGAATATTAAGTAATTTTATTAATTTAGTCGATACTTTTTAGTCGTAACAAGCAACCCGTAAGAAAAAAATATTTTTCCAGAATTAACACCATGCATGCAGAAAAAATTCAATTGATTACAAAAAGCTAACCTTATGCCTCCTATCCTTAGCGGAGTACGCTTCTTCTACTGTCTTGCAACTTTTTCTACTAGCAATTAGATGAACATATGCGAGTCATAACTTGTAATAAAGTTCTTCCGAACCAGAAAAAAATTCGAGACAAATGTCTAAAATCAAGATCAAACACGAGTCTTTTACATCTGACAAACTTTTTTCGAATGCGATTCTCAGTTTGCGTGATCGCGAAACTTTTGGCCCGGCGTCTCCACGTTAGCGAGGAGCGTCTATCCGCGACGACGGTTCGCGATGAATTGATTCGAGGAGGAGTTTGCAGTTTGCAGGACCTAGGGCGGCCGCCCAAACAGGTGGCCACACGGGCGCGATGGTGTCAAAACACGAACGCATCTCCCTGGGCAGACTGGTTGTCGAAATCCGGTCTTTTGGACCGTTTCTGTTTATTGTCTTGATGTAGCTGAATATAAGTATCTACGTGAGAGTGTACATATGTTGCGCAAGTGTCTCTCGATAGTGCGACTGAGAGGCGGATGCGGGTCTGCAGGTAATAAATAGTGAGAGAGGATTCAGTTTCCTGTTTGATAGTTTGTGTTGCTCTCAATAAATTTTGCGTGACTATAATTTATTTATGTTTGAGCATTATTTCTCAAACGTATATGAACTAAAACTAGGAGGACTTTTGATTGATTCTTCTAGAGTATAAAAAGAGATACGAAAAATACGAAATTCCCAAAAAACATTCATAAGGTCAGGTAAAAAGAGGAATAGTGTCTATAGCATCGAGTGCACTGCATGGGAGGGCATCAGCTTTGCCCCCTCAAGTTGAGGAAGAATTAGTTTTACACATTTTGAAAATGGAAGAGTTGCTCTTTGGAATAACCATAAATGACATTCGGAGACTCGCATATAATATTGTAGAAAGCAACACACACATGAAAAATCCCTTCAATAAAGAAGAAAAAAGAGCAGGGAAGAAGTGGTACTATTCTTTCATGAAACGACATCCCAATCTTAATTTACGCCAGCCCGAAAGCATTCCATTTGCTCGTTGCAGGGGATTTACAAAGCCAACGTTTTAAGTTTTTTTGATTTGCTGGAAAATGTCGTCGATGAAAATAAACTAGATGCTTTATCCCTCTACAATGTGGATGAATCCGATTTCTCCACTGTGCAGAAAAATGCCCAAAAGTCATTGCCCAAGAAGGAAAGCATCAAATAGGCGCACTCTCCAGTGGAGAAAGAGGAGTCACTACGACACTAGTTGCGTGCACCAGTGCTTCATGCAATTTTATCCCGCCAATGATTATTTTTAAAAGCAAGAGGATGCATCCTGCACTTGCCAACGGTGCTCCTCCTGGAACTTTGGTTGAAGTATCGGATTCTGGATATATTAACTCGAAATTTTTGTGAAATGGTTAAAACATTTTATATCATACGTAAAACCAGGTAAAGATGCCCCAGTTTTAATTGTGTTGGACGGTCAAACGACACATTAAAAAAATTTGGAGACTATCAATCTGGTACTTGAAAATGGTGTATTGATGTTGCAGTTACCTAGCCACACAACCCATCGGTTACAACCTCTAGATGTTGCCATCTTCAAGTCTTTAGAGACCAGGCAAATATGAAATGGATGCGCTGTAATCCGGGACGTAAGGTTTCACAGTTCGAGGTCGCTAGACTTATATGCGAGGCTTACGAGAAAGCTGCAACATTAAGCAATGTGGCAAATGGTTTTCGAGCTAGGAATTTGGCCAGTTGATCGTATGATATTTTCTGATTCTGACTTCATAGCAAGAGAAAACTTGACTCATTCGGACCTTCCCCTTGACGTTGAAAACGACAAAGAAAACACCTTGACAAATGCCAGTAATGCTGATGAAGATACATTAGAAAATCAGTTGAATGATACTGAAACTTATAATGCAAACACTGGCATTGCTGTTATATCTCTAACAAGTACTTCCTGTTTCAAAAGATGGAACCAGCATTGTTATGGATGCAGAAGCATCTGAACTAATTTGATCATCAGAGAATTATTGGTGCCTCTTCATAAGTTAAGTCCCGTGCCAACAGAAACAAAAAAATACGAACAACGAAAAAATAAGGGAGCCCAAACTGCCAGTCACTATAAAAATTAATTGGAATTGTTTAAAAAAAAAATTAAAAGCGTGCACGAACCGAGATATTAGGAAAGGCAGGTCCCAATGGGATAGGTGGGAAAAAGTAGAAATCTAAAATTGTACCAGGAAAAGAAAACGTACATATTGTATTTCATAAGGAAGATTGGTATTGTTTTCTGTGCAATGAAGAAAATATTGAGGATATGGTTTGTTGTCTCGTGTGTAACCAATGAGCCCACCAGATGTGTGCGGGATGCGACGAAACATCCAGAAACTGTGATTACTAACTCCATTTTATAGAAAATCTGCGTTAGAATGGAGAAAAATCTGTTATTTGTGTTCATATTTATATCATATTCATATTTAGACAAACTGTGTAATAAAATCTATAAAAATGTATTACTGGTTGCCTATTTGCTTTAGAGCCTCTTAAGGACTGATCCAGTCCACCTGAATTATTCAATTAATTCTTTCTCCGTTGATGAAATTAAAACACTATTCTGACCATGTTTTGTACCAAAATTGCGTACCAAATCTTGATTATTTTTAAAATATTGCTCAACGATTGTTCTTTCGTGTAGCGCTCCATTTTTTAATATCCCTGAACTGTCGGCTATCACGCTGTATTTTTAAATAAAAGTTTTAGTCCTTATGCGATAAGTAGACAGTCTTCTTTTCATTTTTACGTAGACATTCTAATTTATACTTTCTGTTAATGTAAAGCTTCATATAACCGTTTGTGTTCCTGTATTTTTCTCCTCTTTCATTATTTCTTTTTCAAATCATTACTACGCTTAAAAATGGATCTCAAACAGAGACAAGGCTTTTGACGAGTTGTGCCTAGGTGAGAATAAAAGTAGGTCAAATTGGTCTGTTATGTGATTCTGCAGAATATCCGTGGGTGGTAAAATAAGTCTGCTTTTTAATCAAGACGTCCATATTTTTGTCCAGTTTAAATTGCGTGTCATATTGTGAGGATATTTGATTCTTCATTAAGGGATATGCTATTAGTAAATATTTGTTTTGCAAAAGCTCTTTCTTCCCCGAGATAAAAGAATATAATTTTTTAACACCAGAAAAGAAACAGTTATGAATTTTAGCCAACGACGTAATGGCTATTAGATTCACAAACAGTTTTCCTTCAGTTTCAGTTTATTTTCAAACAATCTTAACGTTAATAATACTATATTGTTAATTTCTCTGCACTATTGCGATTATTTCTTCCTCTGTTTATTATTTCGGTCAGTCTTGAACAAACATCCAAAAAGTCTGTTTTGACATTTGACTTAATCTTTTATTTTTGAACAAGTCATATTTTTCAAACGATCAGCAGTCATTTAAAAGTAAGTTTTAATTTTAGATTTTTATTATCCAAAGGTTTATGTTTATTAAAAACAACCCTTGACTGATCCTCATCCCTTTTTTCCGTACTTTTAGAAGGCCAAATAAAAAATAACGATTAACATTACATTTACGGGACTTTCATTTAACCAAATAAACTGAATCAAACATATTTTTAGCACATCACAATGAGATACCAAATAATTTTTTTTATTTAATTCTTTTCACCATTTTGGACACATTGATATGTATATATAGTAAGTCACATTTGTAAATACACATTAAAAGTAAGCTACATTCACGTCGCAACATAGAAAAATATAAAATTTTTACTTGCGTTATGAAAAGGTTAAAATACTTCGATTTACAAGGAACTAAATTAAATGTACAAACTATTATTTTCAAATTTGAGATATTCTAATACACTATAAAAAGCATTACCCAATAAAAATTCTTTTATTTTATTTTTACATTTACTATAGCACGTAATAGTTTTAATATTGTTTGGTAGTCCATTGAATAAAACAATGGCATTGTAATATGGGGAGCGTTCAAAAAAAGTGGTGCGATGTTTTGGTATATTATTAAGCTGTGCTTTTGGTATGCTTAATAATAAATCCCCATGCCTATATTTGTATGAATGGTAATATGAGCAAGACTTAAAAAGATGTTCATTTTTTTTGGCAAAAGTAATGGATTTCAATATATATATCGACGGTAATGTGAGGAGTTTTTTTCTTTGAAAATAGGTTTACAACTGTCAGTGGGCAGTCTCTATATATTAACATTAATAATCGTTTTTAAGCTATAAAAAGACGATTCATTTCTCTTCCACAACCCCAGCATATTATATTATACGACAGATATGAATATGCTAGAGCGTAATATGCGTTTAACATACAACTTTCATCAAGAGAAGATTTTAGTTGCAACAATGCGAAATATGCTTTATTCATTTGCTTACATACGTGGTCAATGTGATCATCATAAGTCAGTTTAGAATCAAAATATGTTCCTAGAAGCTTGACGTTTGTTGAGAGTGTAAATGCGCCATGTATAATAAAATGACTTGGAAGTAGTCTCAGTATACGGAAGTTAATTATTAAAGTTTTATCCTCATTTAGCACAAATTTATTACGATCACACCAAGCACTGAATTCGCTAATTACATTTAATATACGAAGAAACACGTTCGGCATGCTTGTTTGAGATTTCGTGTCCTTCATATGACATTTATGTTTTCGTCTGTAATCAGAGCTTCATTTGCTTAATAAGAACGAAGGAAATGATTAGACAAGTAGGGACGAACTCAAATTATTCCGGCTTTTCCCGCAGAACTGTTGAAATGTATTTATGCAGAACAAGTCGCATTAGTACAAGGGATAAGTATGAGTAATTTAGTTTTGTCAACTGACTAATTGGTCGACGACGTTTTGTTTGCGATACGCTCGAACTTCGCTGAACAATCCTCAAGTTGAGTATTGTAGCCTCGCTTCACAATGTCGCGTCATTTCTGGACCTTGGAAGGTGCGATCTAGGTGTTTAATTTGAAACAATCTCGTGAATTTCAGTAGCGACTTCTAAATATGCGTCAGTTACCGTGTCTACAAGAATTCCCGTATTCTCCTGAATTCGACAACCTTTCAAACGTTTCTCTTTGCCCCCGCAATTATATTCAAATTTCTAAATGATGTGGTTGTTCAGAATCTTCAATTTTAATTGATCTCTGGTGTCAGCGACATCTACGGTGTATCATATCTAAGACGAATTCTTCCGTAGCTCTGATAATATCAATAATACAAATTAGTGTCCCAA